CCTTGTTGGCCCAAGGGGGGTTGAGTGCTCAGCCTTGAGCGGGACTTGACACAAACAGGTGATAAAGGACCACATAGAGGGGGGTTTGAGTGCGTGGGCTATCTTGCAGCCAACATCTGTTCAGCCTGTCCTGCAGACAACACAGTTCAGCCTGCTTTGTACCCAACAACTGTCCCATTTTTCGGAGGAGAAAACTAAGGTGAGATAAAGTCCAGGTCTGTCTGGTTTCAAAATGCCGCTTTCCCACCACTCCGCCAGCGGGAGGCGCACAGGGCTGGGCGAGACACTGGAGACACGGATTAGAGTCTCTGGGTCTCGGAGTCCGCAGCTCAGGCCCTGCTCCGGCCCCGCCCCACTTAGGCGGACTAGGAAGGGCAGAGCCCTCAAGCTCAAGGGAAGTTGGGGCTTCGTGATTGGGTGGGGCGTCCCAGCGGCCGGGGGAACGCCCAGGGGCGTGGCTCTGAGGAAGGCATGGACCAGGGCTCCGCCCCCTCCCGCGGACTCAAAGCGGACGGCGTCCGCGGAGGCGGGGTCAGAGCGCCGGCGGTAGATCGCATCGCTGCTGTTCCGAGCCCGCCGCCTTCCAACGCCCCGGCGGGGCAGAGCAGGTACAGGTGACCGCCCAGGGCGTTTTGGGCTGGACCAGACAGGGCCCGGGAGCCTGCTAAGGGCCCCGGAGGGCATTGGGGCTCTTGGCCAGCGCTGTGCTTTCTCCCGCGAGCTGGGGCCCCTGCCTCTGCCCCTACCCCCGCCTTCCTGAGGCGATGCCGGCTGTAGCTGGGCGGATTGGCGCCTGCGCCGCTTCCTGCGGCCGGGACTTGGCCAAATCGTGGGGCCCAGGCGGGAGACTAAGGGGAAACTGAGTCATGTCGTGTTGGGAGCCGTGCTGCGTGGGCGGCACCACTCCTACTGGTTTCCAGGGTAGATCCCTTTCCTGACCACGCTTTGGGATCCCAGCCGCCGCCGATCTCCGGCAGCGCACCACTCCCGTCCCCCTCCTTCTTCTCCCAGGGGTCCCGCTCTGGCTCCCTGCAGCATGGACCAGTCCGGTATGGCTAGGACTTGCTCCAGCCGCCTCCTTTCCTTTTCCTCCCCTCCCCCTCGCGTCCCGAGCCCCCAAGTACTCCCTCCGCTGGCTCTCCGCACAGTGTCAGCTTACATGCCTTATATAGTCCGAGCAGGCTTCAGCCGCGGCCTGCCTGCCGGGACCTGGAGGCGGGGGAGAGGAGAGTGGCCCCTGACTCACCCCACCGCGCCATCCGAGGCTCCAGGCTGGTTTGGGGAGAAGCCGTGCCAAATTAGTCTCACAGTTCACCTCTGGATGGAAAGAACCTCTAGCATAAATGAGGGCTCCCAGTTCCTGGGCTGAGGGGGTCTGCCCTTGTGTTTATAAGTGAGGTCTACCTGACAAATCTGATAGGATACCTACTCACCCATGCCTTGTGTGTGCCCAGTGTCTTCCCTTGGTGCTTGGCAACTGTCCAAGGCTAGTGTCCAGCACTGGGCTGGCCTTCCTGCAATGCTAGCCACTGATCTTCTCTTCTCAGGAACAGGCACCATGGATTCCTTCAAGGTGGTGCTAGAGGGGCCAGCACCTTGGGGCTTCCGGCTGCAAGGGGGCAAGGACTTCAATGTGCCCCTCTCTATCTCCCGGGTGAGCCTGGGTTGAGGAATGGATCCCTCCGTGGGGGGGGGGGTCTGTGGGTCTTAAGTCTTCAGTGGGTGATGGGAGGGGAGGAATCTGAACAGGAACAACAGGGCTCAAAAGACCAGGAGGTGTCCAGAAATATGGTGGACACCTGCCATAAGGGCTCCCAACTAGGTGAATCCTGGAATAGGAATTCCTAAACTTCCCTAGCACTGGCCTAACTTGATGGCATTCCACCCAGCTCCTGTGGCCATACCTGAGGGCAAACAGGAGGCCTCCTTTGCAGGATGGGAACCTGATGTCTCCAGGGAGTGTCTGAACCTGAGGGAGCATTGCATGGAGTCAGGCCTCAGGCACAGCACTTTGACCATAGGATCTTATTTTAAGTTTGCTTTCACTCAGGGAATAACAGTTGCCATGCTGTTTTTCCAAATGAGACTACTTGGAAAGGCACAGGGGGATCATTCTGCAAGTCCACGGCAAAGCAAATTTTGAATTTAGGCGCAAGATGGCCAGCACTCTTGGTGGCTTGGAGGAAAAGGTTTCTTCCCAACCTTTTCTAACTCTTCTCAGCCTATGTCCCCATCAAGTGGTACTATTCAGATTGTGGTAGCCCTTGACCCTGAACAGAGCTATTGTAAGACTGGGCTTAATAGCCCCTGTTGGGGGCTATTAGGGTTCTGACTCTTAATTCCTAGAGTCTGCCCTGGTGGGGCGGAGCTGGGGGATGGCTCCTCCCTGTGGCAGGGGGATTGCCTTATAAGCCCAAGAATGCATCCCCAGCTGGCATAGCCAACAGTGGTTAGAGTCTACAGAGACCAAAAGGGCTAGCCTAGACCTGGACCCCTGGACTCCATTGGTGGGCCCCTCACCTGGTCGTCAGGTGGCAGTGCCAGCAGTGGGGTCCAGTTGTGGTAGAAACTGCCTGCCCAGAGTGGGTGAGACCAGCCTTTGGACTTGGTGTCTCTGATTGTGGCCTGGGGGTCAGAAGGGGGTGGGAACTTCCTGCCCCCACATCCGCCTGCCCAAAGAGGCCCACCCAGCCCCCTGTGGGCAGACAGCTATTGGCAGGAAGCCCAGGGCAAGCCCAGCCTGGCAGGGGCCAGAGGTTTGTGGAGGCACTGCCCAGCCTAACAGGGGCCCCAAGGCAAGAGTCTGTCAGTGGGAGTTGGGCTTGGTGGTCTGGGCAAGCAGTGTTCTTTCTAGGAATCCTTCTATGTGTTCTGGAAAATGCCCTGTCAGCAGGATATCTAAGGGCAGTGGTCCTCCTACCACACAAAAAATAGTCCCCTACACAATCTTTAAGCCTATTCTATATTCCATTCCCCTTCCTTTCCCTGGGGAAAGTGCTGGCCAATGTGGCTTGTCTCAGCCTCAGTTTCTTCATTGATGATGACCTTTTATATGTGGCCTGTTGGGGGCACTCTGGGTCTGGGCTCCCTTGTCAGCAGCCTTAGCATGTGGGTGGGGCCACCAGCTGAGCCCAGCTCTGAAGTTGGATTTACGCCCTGATGGGTGGCCGGGTGGGGTGGTCTTTTCTGAGCTGGGCCAGCCCCCTATCCCTCCCCTGACCCCAGAGTAGAGGGAAGAGGGACGGGCTAGGGCTGGCTGTGGGCCCAGGCCTGGGAGATGAGGTAACGTCTGGGACTGGGGGGTTGGGCTTCTCGTTGGAGCCCTTAGGCTGACTCACCCCCGCCCCGGTACAGTGTCCAGCCCCCTGGCTTTTCCCCTCCTTAATCCTTAAGGCCTCCTCCTGCTCCTAGCCTGAATTCCTCCTGCTTTCCCCTCTAGCCACCTCAGAGCTCTCTCTTACTTCTTTCTCCACCTTTCTGACCACTCCCCTACTCCTCCTTCCGCCTCCCTTCCTCCAGGGAAGGAAGTAGTCCTTTACCTCCTCACACACCCCTTTTCAGGAGCCAGCTGCTCCTGTCCACCCCAAGACCACCACCTCAGACTCAGCCTATATAGCCTCCTGGGAGCCAGCTTGTGTGCTTAGAGAGTGACTGAACCAGGTTTCCCCTCCTGACTCACCATGACCTTAAGTAAGTCACTTCCCCTGAAGGTTGTTACTTCCCCATACCCATTGTAAGGGACTGGGTTGAACTAAAGGTGAGGCAGGGAATCAGGGAGCCTTTATAGGTGTGTTGATCCCTCAGTTGGGTGCCCACACTCAGCAGAGGTGGCCTAGAGTGGTGGAGCCTTAGAATCAGGGTCAAATCCTGGCCCTGCCTCTTAATTGCTGGGTGATTTAAGGTGCTTAATCTCCTTGTCTGTGTGAGAAATGGGTGTATTCTCGGATTCTTCCACAGGCTATTGGAGGATTCACTGTCAATGTGTGCTCCAAGTTCTTAGTATTATTATTTAGCAGGTAAAGAAGGGTCCATCATCTTTATGTTCTTCTAACCTTTGCAAGCATGAAATAGAGCCATTGAACCTAGTTCTCCCTTTTGTCCCAGTGCTGGCAGTCTCTGCATCTGGCCCTCTGCCCCTGGCACCTCTCTGGAACCTCTCATTTCCCCTCTGCTTGCCTCAGCAGTTCATGTACCAGCCCACCTGAGAAGCCTCTTGAGGCCTCTGGCAGCTTGTACCCCCCAATTCCCACCACCATCTGTGAAGTATAAATTAAGCCTGCTCAATGCAGTGCCATGCCCCTTGCCAAATAGCTGGGTAGTCCCATGGGCTCAGACCCATAGACAGCCATCTGCCTGTGTTGTGACTGGAAGGACTCAATTTGTTTGTCAGGGTCACCTCTGCCAGGGGCCTGGGAAGTGGCCCCTCTACTCTCAGGCCTTTATAAATAGACTCTCAGCCCTTCAGCGACGCATTCCATTTTCCTTCGACCAAAATCATTGCTTTCCAAACAGCTAATGCTGGTGGCTACCATTTCTCCCAGCCTGCTGTATCCCTCATTTACCACACAAACCGGGGATTTCTGACTCAGAGCCCAAGGGGTTGGGGGCATGGAAATGACATCAATTTAAAGCTATGAAACTCCTTTGGCACCATTCACAGGGAAACTGGAGATGACAAGACCTACTCCAAGTCTAGACATAACCCTACAGAAAGCCCTGGGATAGGGTGATAGTGTAAGAGGTCAGTGAGTACACTCAGTGGTGCCAGGGATGAAGCTGCCACAAGCACAAGCCAGAGGATATATCTGGTAGGTGGAACAGCCTGAGAGGGAGGCCAGCAAGGGCCTCAAAAGACTGATCAAAACCTGAGGGTGGCTGTTTGTTGACATCACAGCAGTGTCTGGGTTGCGAAGGAGGGTCCTGGAGGTGCTTAAATGAGCAGTGTGAGGGAGGAAATTGTGCAGTGGACGAGCACCACCTCCTTCAAGGTTGCTTTAGGATCCAGCAGTCACCTAGAAAAATGTTGACTATAATGGCCTCTGGGTACTGGAAGTGGGGCTAGGCAGGATTGACAACTGTTGGCCTCAGTTTGGGTTGCACAGTCCTGAGGCTCATTGGGTGCAGTGTCACATGTCTGTAATCCCAGCAACTTGAGGTTGAGGCAGGAGGATTGCAAGTTCAAGGTCAGCCTGGAAAACATACCTGTTTCAGAAAGGACTGGGGTATGTAGCTCAGTAGTAAAGCACCCCTGAGTTCAAACCCCAGTACCAAAAAGAGAGAGAGAGAGAGAAATCCTGGGCCTTTGTGACCCTTTCTCTGTCCACAGCTCACTCCTGGAGGCAAAGCTTCTCAGGCCGGAGTGGCTGTGGGAGACTGGGTGCTGAGCATTGATGGGGAGAACACAGGAAGCCTCACGCACATTGAAGCCCAGAACAAGATCCGTGCCTGTGGGGAACGCCTCAGCCTGGGTCTCAGCAGGTACCGCTGTGGCCTGCTGGTGGGTAGGGACACCCTCTTGCTGGGCCCACAGTCACTTCCTTCCCTTCTTCTCCAGGGCCCAGCCAGTTCAGAGCAAACCGCAGAAGGTAGGCAGGGGGAAATCCGGGCTTTGGGCAGGAGGGGCATGGACCCCTGAGCTGACCTGCCTTCCCTGGCACAGCCTTGGCACCCAGTCCCTACTGGGAGCAGGGGGCAGTTGCCAGAATGAGCAAGGTCTGGGGAAATGGGAGTGGAATCCAGGGCTGCCGCACGGTCCCAGCATCACGCATGCCTGCCCGTCTGTCCGCCTGCCTCCTGTGCTGTGTGCCCACCCACACTTGGTCCTTCCTTGGCCCCATGTGGACTGAGATTATAGCTCCCAAATGGGGCCCTTGAAATTTGAGTCGCCCCCTCCCTGATGCCTTCAGCCAGATGTGTGGGGCGGAGCAGGAGCTGCCACTGCCCTTTGGTGGGGAATCACCCCATTCCCACCCAGGCTCCCACCCTCGCCCTCCCCGCTCGGCTCTGTCTCCGCCCAGGCCCTGGCCCCTGCCGCGGAACCCCCGCGGTACACCTTTGCACCCAGTGCGTCCCTCAACAAGACGGCTCGGCCCTTTGGGGCCCCCCCGCCTGCTGACAGCGCCCCGCAGCAGAATGGGTACGTCAGTTCCTGCCCGCCCACCGCCCACACTGTCCAGTCCTATGTTGGCCCCACACCCACTGTCGTTGCTGCTGCTCAGTGTGCACTGCGCCCCAGCCGGGCGGGAACCGTGCGGCAGCGACCCCTGGCGGCCGGGGTGGGAGCTACAGGCACCGCCCTTCTGGGGGACTCTGAACAGAGTCATTGTCCCCCACTGGTGGCCTGGGTTGGGGTATGGTGTTGGGCCAACTGAGCCTCAATCAGCGGCACCTCGCCCTCAGCTCCTCCGACCCTTCCCCATCTTTTTTCCTCCCTTTGTGTCTGTCCCTTTATCTGTCCATCTATTTCCTTCACAGGTGCAGACCCCTGACAAGTCAGTGAGCCCCCTCTGCCTGTCCCTCTCTTCCTTCTTTTTGTCACTCTGGGCGGTGGTCCCTCCCCACCCCGGCTGGCCTACTCCCCTCTCTCACTCACCCACCCACCCACCCACCCAGCAGGGCCCGTAGCCTTACCCTTCTCCCTCTCTCTCCCATCACGGTGACCCATTTATACCAAATTCTGGGAGGGCCTGCCCCTACTACCCATTCCCATTGTGAGGTTCTGAGCCACACCCTTCCCACAGACAGCCGCTCCGACCGCTGGTCCCCGATGCCAGCAAGCAGCGGCTGATGGAGAACACCGAGGACTGGCGGCCACGGCCAGGGACAGGCCAGTCCCGCTCCTTCCGCATCCTTGCCCACCTCACGGGCACCGAGTTCAGTAAGTGCCATCCCAGGGCAGGGTAGACTCTCCTGGCTCCAGCCCAGGCCTGACCCTCTGCCAAGGATTAAGGCTGGGTTGGCCCTCATTTCTCTTGGTCAATGCCTGCCTCTGCCCTCTCAGTGCAAGACCCGGATGAGGAGCACCTGAAGAAGTCGAGGTAAAATCCAGGCATCAGCCTGTCTCCCACTTCCCACCTCTTCCATCCCAGCACCACCCCTGTGTCTGCCCTGGACCTCCCCAGCCGGGCTCTCCATTCTCCTCCTTTTCTTCTTTCCTTCCTTCCATCCTCCCTCCCTGCTTCCCTTCCATCTCTCCTTCCTTTCACTTCCTCCTTTCTCTGTCCTTCAGGGAAAAGTATGTCCTGGAGCTACAGAGCCCACGCTACACCCGCCTCCGGGACTGGCACCACCAGCGCTCTGCCCACGTGCTCAACGTGCAGTCGTAGCCCACCCTCTCCGGCCGGCTGCCCTCTGCCTCTTTCTCTGTTCCTCCTGCCCAAGGCACTCCCTTTGTGCCTCCAGCTTCTGCTTACCTTACCCACCCCTTTCCTGCCCCTGGCCTGAGCCTTCTGCTGGCCTGGCCCCAGAAGCCGGTCTGGCACAGGGCCTGACTTCATCTGACACTGCCTTCCCTCTTTTGCCCTGTGGTACTGCTGTCTGCCGGTCTGCACTGCCTTGGGCATGGAAATAAACATTCTCAGGCCTGCTTTCTCTGCCTCTGTCTTCTCTCTGTCGGCCTGGTTTGCATTTTAGGTACGGCAGTGTTAGATGGTTCAGGCTCAGTGTGGGCCCTGCCACTCTGCCATAGTGGGAGGGGGTACATGGCAAAGAGGGGGCTTTATCCCGCCAACAAAGTAGGCTCTCTGGGGTAAGGGGATCCCAAGAGTTACCCTAAGGAGCAGGAGCTCTGCTTCACCTCCCAGCGCTACATGACAGACCAGATAGCTGGAACCTAGCTAAAAAAGCAACCCTCCCCATCCCTACTCTAGAGGGACCTGGAGTCCAGCTCAGCAGCTCTCATGTACCCAGGGCAACTCCCAGGGGCCAACAGGACTAAACTGGGGGGTGGGACATGCCAGATGCTTCAGCCATTCAGTGCCTTGAATGGCAGATCTTGCAGCCAGGTGTCCAGGACAGAAGCCCCAGTCCCAGCCTCAACTACAGCCCAGGAACCCTGGCCTGGTGAGAGAGCGGGCTTGGGCCTCGGGAAGGGTGGGAAGCCTCCAGGGATGTGGTGGTGGTAGGCTCCTCTGAGCTGCCCCAGGCTCCACCCTCTATTCTTTGGGATCCCTGGGCACCCCTCTGGAGCCATTTTCCTTGGCCTTGGCAGGCCCTACCACCCCCAGCCCCAGCAGCCGCCCACCCTGGGCTGTGGACCCTGCATTTGCCGAGCGCTATGCCCCGGACAAAACAAGCACCGTGCTGACCCGGCACAGCCAGCCAGCCACACCCACCCCTCTGCAGAACCGCACCTCCATTGTGCAGGCTGCTGCTGGAGGAGGCCCAGGAGGGGGCAGCAACAACGGCAAGACTCCTGTGTGCCACCAGTGCCACAAGGTCATCCGGTGGGTGACCCTATTTCCTTCCTACCCTAGCCTAGACCTGGTTTGTCTATTCACCTACTTCTAAGCTGCTACTGAGGGAGAATAAGGATTCAGTTCCCAGTGGAAGCTGGGGTAGAGACCTGGCCCAGGTCCTTAGATTCTGAATCCTATACCACCTACTCCACCCTACCACCCCACTCATGCCAATCTCTAGCAATATTTGCCCTGTTGAAATGAAGAAAGTCAAGTGACACCTTGAAGCTGTACTCTGGGCAAAGAAGGGGCTGTCCTCTCCCAGCCCATCTGCATCTCTCTCTCTCTCTTACTGCTCTGTCTTTCTGTTAAGCCTCTGCTCTCAGAGTGGACAGGTCAGAGGCCCCTCCCTCTTGGCACTGCTCCCTGGGGCCCAGCAGAGTAACATATCACCTCAGAATCAGTGTGCCAGACTCTAGAACCTTCCTAGTTCTCATCTCCAGCCCTGCCCTGCTTTTGCCTCCCATTAGCTCTTAGGCAGATTTGCAAAGTACCCTGCTCCTTCCTTTTTTTTTTTTTTTTTTTTTGGTACCGGGGATTGAACTCAGGGGCACTCATTCACTGAGCCACATTCCCAGCCATATTTTGTATTTTATTTAGAGACAGAGTCTCACTGAGTTGCTTAGTGCCTCGCAGTTGCTTTGAACTCGTGATTCGCTTGTCTCAGCCTCTAGAGCCACTGGGATTACAGGCGTGCATCACCACCTCTAGGGATCCCCCTCTTTTTTAGATCCCTATTTATTTAAGACCTGCATGCCCCTCCCCAAGTTGGAACAGGCAAGCAGGACAGGGCAGGCCATGGGGTCTTCTCAAGTGTTCATCAGCATGCAGGGCTTCCTGTCCGCTAGGGCACCAGTCCCTCAGGTGTGTCTCATTAAACTCAAGTCATCAGCTCCCACCATTCTCCTAGCTTCAAACTGACTCTTGTGTCATCAATTCTATGCAACATGACAAAGCTATCTCTCTTCAATCTTCATCACTTTCACTGTGTGACCTTGGACTAGTCACTTCCTAAATCTGTACTCTGCTTTTTGTTGTTGTTGTTATTCATTTGATGGACCTTTATTTATGTGCAGTGTTGAGAACCCTGTGCCTCACACATGCCAGGCAAGCACTCTACCACTGAGCCACAACCCAGCCCTTATATTCTGCTTTATTTGGGGGGGGGGGAATTAGAATGAACTTCCTCATCTAAAATTTCCTACTAGGTGCTAAATAAGCCCACTTGGAGCTCCCAACTCATTCCCTTTCACTGCCCTACCTCCCTATAGGGGCCGCTACCTGGTGGCACTGGGCCATGCTTATCACCCTGAGGAGTTTGTGTGCAGCCAGTGTGGGAAGGTCCTGGAGGAAGGCGGCTTCTTTGAGGAGAAGGGGGCTATCTTTTGCCCTCCCTGCTATGATGTGCGCTACGCCCCCAGCTGTGCCAAGTGCAAGAAGAAGATCACAGGCGTGAGTGAGGCTGGCAGAGGGATGGCAGGTGGGAAGGCAAATCCTGAACATGTCAGCGTTGAGGAGTACAGAGCACTGCCTAGCCTGTAGCTCTCTCTGCATGAGCCCTTTGGATCTTAAACAGCCTAATAGGGGTAGAGGTGTAGCTCAATGGTACAGCACTTGCCTACCATGTAAGGCCCAGGGTTCAATCTCCAGCACCACAGAAAACAAAACAGGCAAAAACCAAACAAACAAACAAAAAAAAACAGCCTAATAAATGGGTTGCTCTATTGACCTCACTTTATATCATCCAGGATCTTCACAACCAAAGATCATAATTCTGTTCAAAAAGGCTTAAGCAGCCAGAAGCAGTGGCACATGCCTGTAATCCCAGCAGCTTGGTAGGCTGAGGCAGGAGGATCATGATTTCAAAGCCAGCCTCAGCAAAAGCAAGGTACTAAGCACCCAGTGAGATTGTTTCTAAATAAAATACAAATTAGGGCTGGGGATGTGGCTCAGTAGTCAAGTGCCTCTGAGTCCAATCCCCAGCATCCCTGCCGAGACCCCCCAAAAGGCGTAAGCAAATACAAAAGAGAAAAGAAATGTATTGGATAGCTCAAGGCATTAACTTCAAGCCCCACTAAATTCAGGTACCAAGGCCATGAGGACTCTTGCCTCACTCTCCCCAGGGCAGGAGTCTGACCTCACCAACCTGGCAGGTATTCCAATAGATGTTCTTACTGCTCAGTGGTTCCTTGAAAATTCTCCTTGCCACTTACTTTGTGCCACAGAATTGGCCAGAAGCTCTGGGGATTAAGGGGAGATAGTAGAGACCTGGCCATTCTAGGTATACTCTGAAGACCCCTGTGCCACTCCCACCAATCCCTTATTCATGCTTTATCCACTCTAACCTCTTCATTTTGACAGTGAATTCTGTTCCTTCCACCACAGGGCCTTTGTATACTCTTACAGCCCTTTTTTACCTCTCTCCTTCCTTCATTTAGAACTCAACAATCACTTTCCCTTGGGAACATCTTTCCTGACACCTACCCTCCCCACAGGTCAGGCTCCCCAGTTTGCTCACTATACTCCAGTCATTTTGTCTCCTCTTATTTCCCTGGGTGTGAACTCCACTGGCTGAGAACAGGAATGTTTACATCAAGCCCTGTGCACTGTATATAGGAGGTTGTCAGTAAACACTTGAACAAGAAAGAAGTGGCCTCTAAGTGGAACTTGACCATGAATAGGAATTCATTTGAGAAAATATACAAGCAGAGGGAACAGCTGTGTCACAAGGCCACACCTGAGAAGGGCGTGAGATAGGCAGAAGAGGTAGGTGGGGTTGGGTTAGGATATGGAGCTAGGGCTGATGAGGTCAGATGTGCCTCAAAAGCGTCTTCTGGGGCAGGGTTGGAGGTTGAGCTAAAGCCAGGGAACTGGGTGCTGCTAGGGTCTAGACAATAGGAATGCTAGACACTAGGGAGACAGATGTAGCATGCCCTAAGCGGGAGACACACAAGTTGAGAACTGGCCCACAGGTGGCTCTGCATACAGGCAGAAACCCCGCTCCCAGCTCTGGGCACTAGCCCTTGCAGTGAGCCCCTGTGGGTGCCCCCTCCACTAGCTGGAGGCGTAAGTTCCTTCACTTTGGCCTGTTTGTTAACTTAGAAGGGGCAACATCACTCTGTGGGAAAGGCCAGTTTTGGAGCCAGCCAAACATGGGCATAAAACCCATTTCTGCCCTCTATTGGCCATGTGAACAGGAGCCAGTTTCTTTCTCTGAGCCTCACTAAAGGGGTGGCAGTAACTCCTGACCAGTATGGTTTCAAGATTTACATGAAACTGAATACAATGGCACATGCCTATAATCCCAGCAACTGGGGAGGCTGAAGCAGGAGAATCACAAGTTTGAGAGAAAAAGAATTAAAACAAGGAAAAGGAAAAAATCATTATATAAAAAATTGCTGTCTCAAAAAATTAAAAAGCCTGGGGATGTAGCTCAGTGTTTGAGTGCCCCTGGGTTCAATCTTCAATGCCAAAAAAAAAAAGAAAAATTAACACAAAATATGATACAGGTGTTGTAAAGGGTACAAATGAGCTATCGAGAGCTAGGTGTCACCCATAATTATTTCTTCCTTGGCCACCCTTTCATTCCTAAGTCAATGGTTATCATTTAAAAATCAAGCTGAAACTGGGCTTAGTGGCACATTCCTTTTATCCCAGTTACTTGGGAGGCTGAGACAGAAGGACCACTAGTTCCAAGCCAGCCTGGACAATTTAGTGAGACCCTATTTTAAAATAAAATTTTTAAAGGCAGGGGATATAGCTCACTTGCCTAGCGTGAGTGAGACTCTGGGTTCCATCCCCAGCACTGCAGGACAAAAATGAAAAAGGAGATTTTACTTTCACACTTAGGTTTCAACCTGAGCCATCTGGGCATTCCTGAGTGAACCTATCCACACTGCCCCCAGAAGGAGAGCAGGTAGTCCCCCATAACACAGTCCCCCGCCCGGCCCTTGAGGGATTCAATCTGGACCCCTTGCTTCAAGCGTGGGGTTATTTTCACACCAGCCCTACAAGTCTAGGGTTAGGTTCCCAATTCATGAGGGAAACAACTGCATCTCCAGAGAAGGTAAAGGTATTGGCCACGTTGCCCTCTGCCTTCTCCAGATCTGAGTGCCACTGTCCCTGGTTGGCTTGAGGGTTCTGGGGAAAACAGCTTAGCCTGAGGGAGAGCCTGTACTGTGAGCCTGCTTCTTACCACCTCCAGTAGAGCCTAGTTAACTCACCCTGATTGGTGAGGACCCACTACAGGCCAGGCACTGTTGGGATAGATTAGTTAATAGAGCAGTTAATGCTTCATGTCCTCCTGGCCCACAATTTAGCTAGGAGAATGGGGGAGAGAAAAACAGTAATAGACAGTAAAAATGTTATCTGTTAGATACAGAAAAAAGGAAAGGGGAAAGTAAAAGGTACCGGAAGCATGACATAGAGAAGGTGAGTTGGAATGACTAGCGCGGACCATATGGAGCAGGTGACGTTTATGTAGAAACGAAGGAGGTGAGGAGCAGGGGGATCTTGAGATATCTGGGATGGAGTAATCCGGGCAAAGGGGACAGCCAGTGTATAACCCAGGACAGTGGTGTGCCTGGCATGTCATGTTAGTGGCAGGCAAGAGTCCAATGTATTGGGGTCAGTGTGAGAGGACAAGGGAAGGAATTTGGCTAGAGCAGATAGAAGAGTGGAATTACTAAAAATTGTGGGAGGAGCAGGTTTGTGGTGCAGAGTTGGGTGCTGAGTTTTTCACATGGTGAATCTGAGGGCCTAGTGGACATGCATGTGGAAACGTGGGGTGGGTGATGGATTAATGAGGGACCTAGGTGAGTGGATGTAAAACTTAGCAGGAGAAAGACTCTAGCCCAAGTCCAGCCTTCCTGCGTCCTGTGTTCTGGAAAGGGCTGAGCCTGATGAAATGACTGTGGCCCCCTCTCAGGAGATCATGCATGCCCTGAAGATGACCTGGCACGTGCATTGCTTCACCTGTGCTGCCTGCAAGACGCCTATCCGCAACAGGGCCTTCTACATGGAGGAAGGGGCACCCTACTGCGAGCGAGGTATGGGGTTGCCTGTGGAAGGTGGGGGGGGGGGCAAAGCATGGGGCAGACAGGAATCCAGGCCCCTTTTTTCTCTGCCTCCATCCCTAGACTATGAGAAGATGTTCGGCACCAAATGCCGTGGATGTGACTTCAAGATTGATGCTGGGGACCGCTTCCTAGAGGCTCTGGGCTTCAGCTGGCATGACACATGCTTCGTTTGTGCGGTGAGAACCCCGACCCCTGCCACCCTCTGTTCTTCTCTAGCCCCATTCCTATATCCTACCTGTGGGATGCATGAGAGATTGGCAAAGGGCCTTTCCAGCTACCTGTGACCCCATGTAACTAGACCTTTCCTGTCCCCAGATATGTCAGATCAACCTGGAAGGAAAGACCTTCTACTCCAAGAAGGACAAGCCCCTTTGCAAGAGTCATGCCTTCTCCCATGTGTAAGCCCAGGACTCACCCAGCCTAAAGAGTGAGAAGTCTGGAGTCATTGCCCCCAACATTTCTGGGTAGGGCTGGCAATGGTTGCCCCAACCCCAACTCCTGGCCAGAGCCTGGGGTTCCCTGGACCCTGTCCCAATCTCTTCACTTACCCCAACACACTTCCTCCACCACCATCACATTACCGGTGCTGGCCACACTGGCCCCTGTTCACCTCCAGTGCCACAATAAACCTGTATCCAGCTGTGTGCTCTGTGCCTTTCCCTGTGCTTCAGTAACGGTGGGACTTGAGGCATTTAGCAGGGCACCAGTTAAGATGGTTTTCTTGGAGTTGGGGATATGGAAGGAATACGGTTACTGCCTCTGAATATGAGGGGAGCCACTGGTCTGGCCTGGCATGGAGGTGAGAGTAGGGGAAATAGGGGCAGATCTGCAGAGATGGGGTGTGAAAGACACTGACAGCCAGAATGAGTCCCCACAGGTGCCACCCACCATCTATATGCCTAAGAACTGAAACAGAAAGTGGGGCTGAGACCCACATCCCCAGGTCCTGGGAGGCCACAAGTGCCAGGCTCAGGTGCTGGAGCTCTCTTTAGGAAAGGAAAAGACAGGACAAAGAGTTTGAGATAGTGAAGGAACCAGTTTGGATTTGTGTTCTTGAAAGAAGCCCCGATGTTAGTGAGAAGGAGGAAGGAAACTAGAGGAAGGTTGGGACAAGGATCAGAGGGCAAAGGCCAGGGGAAGAGAGTGGCAGAGATGGGACCCAGTGAGTCCAAAGTGAGAGCCCAGGGAACAAGGGGCAGGAAGAAGAGGACCAAAGCTAGTATAGGCATCCAGTATATACTGTATGTTGTTTACATAGTCCCCACAATCTCCCCACCAACCCTAGGAGGTACCTGCAGATATTTACTCCTTTTCCAAATGAGGTTAGAAAGGTTAGGAGACCTGGCAAAGGTCATATAACCTCTAGTCACAAGCCAGGCCCGAAACCAGCTGCCACTTGGTCCCAGTCTGGTATCTCAAGGATTGGAGGTTTTGTTGGTGGCCCATCATTCCCTGGGGCTTCTTGCTTCCCATTGATGCCTTCATCTTTCCTGTCCCAAGCATGGACTGGAGAGGGACTGAATGAAGAGAAGACTCATACTAGGAGAGTGCGACAACTCACTGTGCTCATGGTCACTGGTTCTTTGGTGCTCTCTGGCATGAGGACTTCAGCATATCCATGGCCTCTTCAACATGTCCTTGGGCTCTGGATATGGTAGAGCACTTCCTTATCATGCACAAGACCCTGGATTTGATTTCCAGCACCACACACCCAAAATCCTTGGGACGGTCCTCTTTAAGAAAAGGGTCTCTGCTGTGTTCTGTATGGGACCCTTGGAGAATGAATGCAGGGCTCTGTTTTATTTTCATGATGTTCTGCCAGAGGCTAGAACAGTGCTTGGTATATAGTGGATGCCCAATAAATGTTTGTTGAGTGACTGAATCAGTTACCTGTGGGACATTTAAGAGACAAATCTACAAGCACCTGAAGATTCAAGTCTAGATTCACCTCGGATTCAATTCAGGAATGAATTTAGGACAGGTTTGGGGCACTCAACGTTAATGCTGATAATTGATGCCTAGACAGAGCACGGAAGCAAGGCCTGGGCAGGTAGTATCAGGAGTAAAGCAAGTGGGAAGTGGCTTTCTTTCAGCCTAGACATCTCTGGCATTTTAACACTGAGTACCTCTCACTTCACAAGGAAATGTACTCTCTCCCACTTCTTTTGAACCATGAAGCCCTTTCAGTCCATCCTCAGTTTCCATGGATACAAGCGAGCAAGAGTACAGTGGCGGATGGCAATTGCTGATGGGAGCCGTCTGGGGGTAGCCACCCCTCGGCCTGAACCAAGGGCTGCCATGTGGGAATGCCAGGCAGTGCAGCCAGATCTGCCAGTTTATCGACAGTATCTAGAAGTTCAGATTTTATGTGAGAGCTAGATTTTGAATATTGGCAACTATATATTTTTTTAATCCTATTTAAAAAATAATAAGTATGGGCCAAATCCAGTGTGAAGATGGCTAGGGCCCCAGCTTAGAGAACTGACGAAACCTGGAACACCAGCATCACAGCACTGGGCAAAGAAAGCAGACGGAGTCGCCAGAGAGGAAGGATGACAGCCTCCAGAGAGCTCTGGAGCAGGGAAGCCAGGGCTGGGCAAGAGTGTTTCCAGAAGTTGCCAACAATGTCAACCAGGCAGATAAGGCCTAGGAGTCCCCTTGGTGTGTTGCAACAAGGTGACATTTGCCAGATCAGTTTAGCTGAGAGCTGGGGCGCCTGCCAGGGTTAAAGAGGAACAAGGAGGGGGAGAGGTGAGGATGTGGAAGGAGAGTGCAGACAGCTCTTTTAAGAGGCTTGGCTGTTGGCAGTGGTGGGTCTGAGGAGGACATTGTCAGCTCAGCCATCAGTATCTGGGTGGAGGGAAGCAGCTGGGAGACTTCTGCCAAAGGATGGTGGTTGAAGAGGGGAGTTAGTGGAAGGGAGGGCATAAGAGAGAGTAAGATGAAGAACAAAGAGGCGCGGAATCAATCTGGGAGCGAGGAGCTAGATGGAAGTGAAAACAGGCACCTCCTCTGAACTGTATGCTGGGGAACAAAGCAATCCCTGCATGCCACTTAATCCTCTCAGGCCTTCCTGTACTCTCCTGCCCCACAGTCCCCATCTCCCCATCACCACAGGGCTGCAAGGATCACAATGCTCCAAGGCAGGGCTGCAAGACTGTGCGGGCGGAGGCCTCAGGGACTGGGAAATAAATGTCATTGTGCCAGGCAGAGGGGCTATTAGCACCCTTGGGTAGTGAAGTGTCCCCAACCAAGGAGACAGAGCCCGTGGCAGGGGGCTGAGTGGGCAACCGGAGAGGCAGCAGGCAAAGAAGGGTTTTTCCAGCTCCCAGAGACTTGAGCTCATTTGGAGTCAGCAGGGAAAGGCGGTGGAGGGCGAGGGCCTGTTTCACCAGAACTGATGATTCTGTCACTGCCTTCTCAGTACTGGGCCCCATGTGGCCTTGGTATACACATAAGGTACACACAATCCCTCACTCTCCAAGCAGCCTCCTCGCTATAGGGAGGGAGCTAAAGGACCTGGCTGCAGGTGGCCTAGTGAGCAGCGGGTGGGCTGGGATTTGTACTTGAGTAGGCCTGAATCCAAAGCCAACCTTGAGCAAAGGAAAAACTCTTCCGGATGAGAGGAGATCAAGCACTTTGGATTCTGGGGGGTCATGATGGGACAAGAAGAAGCTTGCCTACTGGAGCCTGGGGAGAACTAGGAAAGCTAGGTGCTTGGGAGATTATACAGCGGGAGTCACTTCAGAGGCATCATTGAGGACCCCAGGACCAGACAAAACCTCTTACTCAGGGACTGGGGGCATTAGAATGCCAATTCATGTTTCACCCATGTCCCTTGCCACTAATAAAAATGACCAGTACTTGGGAACCAGATAAATGAAGAACTGTCAGTACAATTCAAAATGTTTAAGCAAAAACAGGGATAATATACCTGAAATAGTTAACAGTTTTAAGTGCCCAAGGGTGTCTCTTGTGCTCTCTCCATCCCTCTCCTCTTCCCTCAGTGCCCATTTGGTTCTCAGGAGGCACTCCCTATTATTGGCAGAGACAGCCCCCAGCAGCTCCAGGTCCATATCCTGCCAATGCAGCAACCCCAGTGGCCAGAGAGAGTCTTTCTTAATGGTTCCAGCAAAAATCCCAGGGCTGATGCCCACTGGACTGACTTGGGTCATGAGTTCATCCCTGATGTAGTCACTGAGTCTGACCCACCAAGTCTGGATCACGTGCTCCCCTCTGGAGTTTTTGATGGAAAATCAGAAGACAGGGGCAGATTGTTGATCAGGCCTGATGGCAGAGGGGGTGTCCACTGCACTTCCTCCCCTCCTTGACACTCCTTCCAGAGCTTTCATCTGTAACCTTGGGAACTGCCCGTGACCAAACCCCAGGCCAGCCCATCCCCTGGGTGTGAAAATGGAGGTAATAGGAGGGGAAGCAGGGAAAGGGTTTGGTATGCTGAAGTGACCCAAGAAAGACCTGGCTTCCCAAGTACCTAGGTTCAATCTTAAGTAAGAAAGAAATTTTTAAAATCCCTATCTAGACTTTATCACTCACTAACTATATGCTTCTGGGCGAGTCACTGTCCCTCTCTGAACCTCAGTTTTCCCATCCGTTAAATAATAATAACAGCTAATACACCCATAACACCTACTATGTACTATTACCATTTTAAGCACTTTCTAGATCCTTTTTAAAAATCCTCAAGCTGGGGCTGGGGTTCTGGCTCAGTGGTAGAGCGCTTGTCTCACATACATGGGGCGCTGGGTTGGATCCTCATCACTGCATAAATAAATTAATTAAAGATATTGTGTCCATCTACAACTAAAAATTAAAAAAAAAAAAATCCTCAAGCTGGGACTGGGAATGTAGTTCAGTGGAAGTGCTTGCCTAGGACTCATGAGGTCCTGGGTTCAATCCCCAGCATCGCACACACTTGCAAAAAACAAAACAAAACAAAAAAACCTCAAAGCAGGGTTACAGTTAGCAGGGCCCAGCAGAGGCAGGGCCGGGGGTGGGGCATCAGGCTAGTCAGGAGCAGAGCTAATGTGGTGAATGAAAGTGATTGGCCCAATGCCAAGGGCGGATGCCTGGGAAGTGCTGTGAGCTTTGTAACAATGAGGGGGCACTTTTGAAGGTATGCTGGGTAGAATCTTGCAGAGGCATGATGAGACCAGAGAAGGCTTAACCAGCTGATGCTGAAAAAGTCCTGCAGCCCACATGCCTCCCCTCAGCCTCAAAGCCTTCCCTAAGAGATGTGGAGGAACACAAAACTGGAAGGTGGGGGTGGAGGGCAGGGCTGCCAGGAGGAAGGGAGAGAGTTCCCATTTTATCCTCACCACAGGTTCTCAAAAGGAAACTCAGAGAGGGGAAGGATTTCACTCAAGGCACACAGCAAGGAACCACTTTCTGGATCCAAACCCTCCTGGTTCTCATCTGCTCAACTCTGGGGTCCCAGAAGCCATTGGACCAGCATCCCTGTATGTGGGGAGCTCTTGGGGTGGGAGAGACCAACATGTCAGTGACTTGAAGGGTGATCAACACTGGCAGGTGGCAGATACAAAGGCTTAGTGGGAGGACCTCGAAGGAGGCACCCACCAGCATGCCACCCTCTGAGACAGTGTGTGCATTTGGGGGGCAGCTGGTAA